GTTGTGTGGTTTTGAGTTAGTTTCTTAATCCTGAGTTCTAATTTGATTACACTGTAGTCTGAGAGACTGTTATGATTTCCATTCTTTTGCATTTGCTGAGGAGTGATTTACTTCCAATTATGTGGTCGATTTTAGAGTAAGTGTGATGTGGTGCTGAGAAGAATGTATATTCTGTAGATTTGGGGTGGAGATTTCTGTAAATGTCTATGAAGTTTGCTTGGTCCAGATCTGCATTCAAGTCCTGGATTTCCTTGTTGATTTTCTGTCTCATTGATCTATCTAATATTGGCAGTGGAGTGTTAAAATCTATTGTGTGAGAGTCTAAGTCTCTTTGTAGGTTTTTAAGTACTTGCTTTATGTATCTGGGTGCTCCTGTATTGGGTGCATCTATATTTAGAATAGTTAGCTCTTCTTGTTGTATTGATCTTTTTAGCATTATGTAATGCTCTTCTTTGTCTCTTTGGATTTTTGTTGGTTTAAAGTCCGTTTTATCAGAGACTAGAATTGCCACTCCTGCTTTTTTTTGCTTGCCATTTGCTTGCTAAATCTTCTTCCATCCCTTTATTTTGAGTGTGTGTGTGTCTTTTCATGTGAGATAGTCTCCTGAATACAGCACACCGATGGTTCTTGTTTTTTTATCCAATTTGCCAGTCTACATCTTTTGATTGAGGCATTTAGTCCATTTACATTTAATGTTAATATTGTTATGTATGAATTTGATCCTGCCATTTTATTACTGGTTGGTTGCTTTGCCCATTGGTTGGCATAATTTCTTTTTTTTTTTTTTTTTGAGACGGAGTTTCGCTCTTGTTACCCAGGCTGGAGTGCAATGGCGCGATCTCGGCTCACCACAACCTCCGCCTCCTGGGTTCAAGCAATTCTCCTGCCTCAGCTTTTGTATTTTTTTTAGTAGAGACGGGGTTTCACCATGATGACCAGGATGGTCTCGATCTCTCGACCTCGTGATCCACCCGCCTCTGCCTCCCAAAGTGCTGGGATTACAGGCTTGAGCCACCGTGCCCGGCCGGCATAATTTCTTCATTTCATCATTGGTCTTTACCATTTGGTTCTTTTTTTGCAGTGGCTGGTGCTGGTTCTTCCTTTCCATGTTTAGTGCTTCCTTCAGGAGTTCTTGTAGGGCAGATCTGGTAGTGACAAAATCTCTCAGCAATTGCTTGTCCGTGAAGGATTTTATTTCTCCATCACTTATGAAGCTTAGTTTGGCTGGATATGAAATTCTGGGTTGAAAATTCTTTTCTTTAAGGATGTTGAAAATTGGCCCCCACTCTCTTCTGGCTTGTAGGGTTTCTGCTGAGAGATCACCTGTGAGTCTGATGTGCTTCCCTTTGTGGATGACCCAACCTTTCTCTCTGGCTGCCCTTAGTATTTTTTCCTTCTTTTCAATACTTGTGAACCTGACTATTTTGTGTCTTGGGTTTCCTCTTCTAGAGGAGTATCATTGTGGTGTTCTCTGTATTTCCTGTATTTGAATGTTGGCCTGCCTTGCTAGGTTGGGGAAGTTCTCCTGGATAATATCCTGAAGAGTGTTTTCCAGCTTGAATTCACTCTCCCTGTCATCTTCTAGCATTCATTCTCCACATCATCTACTGATCAGGCATAGATTAGGTCTTTTCACATAATCCCATATTTCATGAAGGTTTTGTTCATTTCTTTTCACTCTCGGTTCTCTTTTCTTGCCTTCTTGTTTCATTTCACTGAGTTGATCTTCAATCTCTGATATCCTTTCTTCTGCTTGATCTATTCGGCTACTGAAGCTTGTGTATGCTTCAGGAAGTTCTTGTGCTGTGTTTTTCAGCTTCATCAAGTCGTTTATGTTCTTCTCTAAGCTGGTTATTCTAGTTAGCATTTCTTCTAACCTTTTTTCAAGGTTTTTAGTTTCTTTGTATTGGGATAGAACATGTTCCTTCAACTCAGAGAAGTTTGTTACTACCCACCTTCTGAAGCCCGCTTCTGTCAATTCATCAAATTCGTTCTCTGTCTTGCTTTGTTCCCTTGCTGGTGAGGAGTTGTGATCTCATGGTAGGGGAGAGACTTCCTGGTTTTTGATGGTTTCATTCTTCTTGGGCTGGTTTCTTTCCATCTCTTGGATTTATATAGTTTTGCTCTCAGGTAGCTGCTTGGGGAGGAGGCCTTTCCTTTGTCTGCCTGCAGAGGTGCTGCTGGACTTCCACAGATTCAGTAGAGCTGCTGTGCCTTTTATTTACTCAGGAAAATTAGACCAGCTTCTGTAATGGTGGCTTCTCTTCCCCCTGCCAAGCTCAATCATTCCTGGTCACTTTTTTTTTTTTTTTTTGAAACGGAGTTTCGCTCTTGTTACCCAGGCTGGAGTGCAATGGCGTGATCTCGGCTCACTGCAACCTCCGCCTCCTGGGCTCAGGCAATTCTCCTGTCTCGGCCTCCTGAGTAGCTGGGATTACAGGCACGAGCCACCATGCCCAGCTAATTTTTTGTATTTTCAGTAGAGACGGGGTTTCACTATTTTGACCAGGATGGTCTCGATCTCTTGACCTCGTGATCCACCCGCCTCGGCCTCCCAAAGTGCTGGGATTACAGGCTTGAGCTACCGCGCCTGGCCTTCCTGGTCACTTTCTAACTGATGTTCTGGGTGCGTAACTCTGGAGTGAGAGTTTTTTAGGCTGCTGGGTTTTGTGTGGGGTAGGAGAGGGGGCCGTCCCACCATTTGGGCTGTTTCCCTGCATTCAATTTTCCTTCTTACTGGTGGGTTGGCAGCTCTGTCCACCAGCTTTTGGATTTCTCGGTGTCAGCCAGTGCTTCCACCTAGATCTATGCTGACAGCCCCGGTGCTGGCCGAAGTTGCTGTGCTGCCTTGTTCATGCAGCTCACTGAGGCTTCAGCCTGGCAAAGATCTCCTATTCTGTGGGTTGTAGAGGGCTTGGCGGAGCTCTGTATCCGAACCGAATTCCCAAAGCGGGAGATCCCCCGTCTTCTGGTCGGTTGCATGTGCCTCCTGGGTGGGGCAGTGCCGCACCTTGCCTCAACTTGCCCTATTTGGTTTATATCCACTGTCCAATCAGACCCACAAAATGAACCTTGTACCTCGTTTGGAATCGTGGAGACCACTCAGCTTCTGCATATCTCTTGCTGGGAGCTGCTTTCTGGAGCTGCCTCTTATTCGGCCATCTTGGGATCTTCTGCCCCAAGATCCTGACATGAAGCTGTGCCCCATCTTTGGACTCCTTCTCCCTAATGCTCAACCCTCTTTTGAAGCCCCCTTCAAGGGGCTTTATTAGCTCACACATGGGAAAGAAACTATTAAAACATACAAATGTTTCAAGAGTGAATAACAGTGCTAATAGTGTTCTTTGTTCTTATAAATAAGGAGCCATGCCTTAACCTAGAAGACTAAGTCCTCAGTGGTGGGACACAGGCATTGACAGACAGACAGCTAGGAGAAAGGTATTTGAGTAGGATGGATTTTTCTGACGCCTCTGAAGCTATATCACATTTCCTGGGGCCCAACACAGAGTTAAAATGGTTGGAGGAAATAAATATCTGTTGGGATGCTCTGGGATCTTCCTTTCTTTGCTGAAATCTCAGAAGGTGGGGTTCAAGGGCTGCATGGGTTTGCTATATGGGGACTGAATCTCTTTGGAAATTATTTGGCCACCACTTGTTAGCAGAGTTTGCTGAGGAGCTGAGACCAAGAATGTAGACAGAGAAAAAAACAAATGTGCATTTGGGAGAGGAAGTGATGAACAAAAACGAGTGAGAAGAAATGATGCATGAGGGCCCAGTGCTGGGATGTGGGGACTGAGGGGTCATTTTGCATTTTGGGGCCATCAGACAGTATGCATTTAAGCTGTGTCGTGGGGAGAAGTTTTCAATTCTATATGTGTAGGGTGAAAATAACAGAAATATTGGAAAGACAGTTGCTCATGGTTCAACTCAATCATCTCACTGAGAATTTTAAAAACATGGCTGGGTGCAGTGGCTCACACCCGAAATCCCAGCACTATTGGAGTCCAAGGCAGGTGGATCACTTGAGTTCAGGAGTTTGAGACCAGCCTGGCCAACGTGGTGAAACCCCATCTCTACTAAAAACATAAAAATTACACGGCATGGTGGCAGGCACCCATAATCCCAGCTACTCGGGAGGCTGAGACAGGTGAATTGCTTGAACCCAGGAGGTGGAGGTCTCAGTGAGCTGAGATTGTACTCCAGCCTGGGCAACAGCGAGGGACTCTGTCTCAAAACAAACAAAAGAAACAAACAAAAAACCAAAACCAAGGAAACATAAGGGCCATACACACTAAATAGATCCTTTCTGGTGTCCTCACTATTATACCAGGAGCATGGAAAAAATGCTGTTACATTCTGCAGATGAAGAAACTGAGGCATGGAGAGGTTACATGTGTTTTCCCAGGTCTACTGGTAAGTTAGAAACAGGGATAGAAGTAGAGCTCAAGGCCCCAGATTTCTGTTTCCTACCTGTGTCAGGATGTCATTGATGGGGCTGATGGCTTGGCTGGCAAGGCACTACCCACTTCCTCTATAGGCCCTGGGCATGGCCTGCCTCCAGACCTTCCCCTGGAGGCAAGGGAAGAGCATCTGATTCATGCTACATCCTAGGTGCCCAGCTCAGACTGCAAACCCAGTTCAGTGGCTGGTGCACAGCCAGAGTCCAATGCATTTTTGATGAATACATGAGAGATTGTGTCAGTTTGAGGAAGTTTTTACAGTAAAATTTAGTCTGCTGCATTTGAATCTTCATTTTCTTTACCTTATAGCAATTAAGTAACTAGTTAAGCCTCCTTTTCCACATCTCTAAAACAAGAATAAAGACTACTTTCTGGGGGTTGTGAGGATTAAGTGAGATGAAAAATGAAGTTGATAGCTCTGTGACTACCTCCTCTGCCCTCCAACCTGTGGCTGGCCAACGTGAAGGTGTTCTTCCCCCACAGTATAGATCAGCTATGGAAAAGACCAGAGCCAGGCATAAAATGAAAAGCCCATCTTACCTGCTGAGGCCATTTTCAGCACGATTGAGATCTTGGTCTGAGGTCTTTACCCTAAGGTGGATCCGGGAGGGGTGGGAGTATTGGGTGTTGATCTTGGCCATCTTCTTGGTTTATCACATTTAGCTACCAAGATGATTGCTAAAATGTGAACACAAAGCAGTTATGTCACCAGGACAGGAAAGTAACTGCAAACCCAGCTTATCACAGACAAGGCCTACTACACGTGGCCTCCCTGCAAGCCATGGCAGGCACACCCTCCACTGTCCCTTGTAGTTCCTGCTGCAGTGAGTTTTAGTTGGACATCTCCAGGCTCCTCTTTCTAGCTTGAGGCACAAACTCTTTCGCTTGTTTTTATATGCTACCATGCTGAAGAGCTGCTCAGAGTTAAGTGCTGAATGAATAAATGAATAAATGAATAAATGGCCAAGTTGGTATATGATACAAGGAACATGAAGTCTTCATGATTCTCTGAGATGACACAGTGTCCTTCTTGACCCTGGTTTTCTTGTTTCCTTATTTTTATCTTACAATTTGGCAGGTGTTTTCACTGCTCCCTAAAATCTTGCTTTAAAACATCATGTAAAAAAAGGACCATAAGTGACATTCAGAAAACCTTTACAATATAATGCTAATACACACTTCATCTCATTAGTCCTCACAATAACCTTGTGAGGGACTTATTATTTTTATTCCCATTTAAAGATGAGTAAACCAGGCCTCAGAGATGTTAAGTACCTTATCCAATGAAAGATCCCACCTGTCAATGTGGCACAATCCTTGTGAAACCACCTTTGCAAAATTGAAACTAAGGAAATTATGGAAGTGAAAGATATCAGACCTAACCAATTCCATCTTGCTTCTAACCTCTCACCTGTCCTTATCCATTCCTGGGCATAGACCAAATAAGTCTTGGGAAGGAATTTAATTTGTAATTTAACTAAGAACCCTTTCCCAAAGCTAAACTGTTTTTGTAAAACAAATGAAAGGCCACCAGCCACCAAGTTAGAATGAGAGGGGCTGGAATTCTAAATGTTATCAGCCATTATTCCAGAGGTCGTAAGATTCACAACAGCCCCAGTTACTCCTAAAGGTAACATCACTATTGTGAACTTAAGATGGGCCTTTTGAGATGTCTTTTCAGGTTTTCACATTTCTAATAACCGGATGGCCACACCTGGACCTACCAACCAATTTTGTGGCCCCCACCTAGGAACCGACTCAGCATAAGAGAACAGCTTCAACTCCCTATGATTTCATCCCTGAGCCAACCAATCACCACTTCCAATTCACTGGCCCCCTACCCACCAAATTATTCTTAAAAACCCTGATCCCTGAGTTTTGGGGGAGGCTGATTTGAATAATAATAAAACTCTGGTCTTCTTCATAGCCAGCTCAGTGTGAATTACTTTTTCTCTACTGCAATTCCCCTGTCTTGATAAATTGGCTCTGTCTAAGCAGTGGCAAGGTGAACCCCTTGGGCAGTTACACTTGTGCCAGAAATCAAGCCATGAACGTTTGCCCCAAATCACACAAACCTCAAAGCTAGGAGAAGACAAGAAATAACCAAGATCAGAGTAGAACCGAAAGAGATAGAGACATGAGAAACCCTTAAAAAAAAATCAATGAATGCAGGAGCTGGTTTTTTGAAAAAATTAGTAAGTAGATACATCACTAGCTAGACTAATAAAGAAGAAAAGGGAGAATAGAATACGCAGTAAAAAATGATAAAGGGAATATCACCACTAACCCCACAGAAATACAACCGTCAGAGAATAATATAAACACCCTTATGCAAATAAAATAAACTAGAAAATCTAGAAGAAATGGATAAATTCCTGGACACGTATATGCCTCCCAAAACTGAATCAAAAAGAAGTTGAATCCCTGAATAGACCAATAACAAGTTCTGAAATTGAGGGCATAATAAATAGCCTGCCAACCAAAGAAAGCACAGGACCAGATGGATTTACAGCTGAATTCTACCCAGGTACAAAGAGGAGCTGGTACCATTTCCTCTGAAACTATTCCAAACAATTGAAAAGGAAGGACTCCCCCCAACTCATTTTATGAGTTTGACATCATCCCGATACAAAACCTCGGAGAGATACAACAAAGAAAGAAAACTTTGGGCCAATATCTCTAATGAACATCAATGCAAAAATCCTCAGTAAATTACTGGCAAACTGAATCCCCCAGCAAATTAAACAGCTTATCCATCACAATTAAGTTGATTTCATTCCTGGGATGCAAGGCTAGTTCAACATATGCAAATCAATAAATGTAATTAATCACATAAATAGAGCTAAAGACAAAAACCACATAATTATCTCAATAGATGCAGAAAAGGCCTTCAACAAAATTCAACATCCCTTCCTGTTAAAAACTCTCAATAAACTAGTTATTGATGGAACATACCTCAAAATAATAAAAGCCATTTATGACAGACCCACAGCCAATATCATACTGAATGGGCAAAAACTGGAAGCATTCTCCTGGAAAACTGGCACAAGACAAGGGATCCTATATCTAGAAAACCTCATCATCTCAGCCCAAAGCTTCTTAAGCTGATAAGCAACTTCAGCAAAGTGTCAGGATACAAAATCAGGATACGAAAATCACAAGCATTCTTATACACCAACAATAGACAAGCAAAGAATTAAATAATGAATAAATTCCCACTCAAAATTGCTACAAAGAGAGTAAAATACTTAGGAATACAGCTAACAAGGCAAGTGAAGAACCTCTTCAAGGAGAACTGCATACCACTGCTCAAAGAAATCAAAGAGGAGACAAACAAATGGAAAAACATTCCATGCTCATGGATGTAAAAAAATCATTATTATGCAAACGGCCATACTTCCCAAAGTAATTTACAGATTGAATGCTATTCTCATTAAGCTACCATTGACACTCTTCACAGAATTAGGAAAAACTACCTTAAAATTTATATGGAAACAAAAAAGAGCTTGTATAGCCAAGACAATCCTAATCAATAAGAACAAAGCTGGAGGCATCACGCTATCCGAATTCAAACTATGCTACAAGACTACAGTAACCAAAACAGCATGGTACTGGTACAAAAATAGACATAGATCAATGAAACAGAATAGAGAACTCAGAAATAAGACCACAGATCTACAACCATCTGGTCTTTCACAAATCTGACCAAAGCAAGTAATGGGGAAAGAATTACCTATTTAATAAATGGTTCTGGGAGAACTGGCTAACCACACACGGAAAATTCAAACTAGACCCCTTCCTTACACCTTTTACAAAAATTAACTCAAGATGGATTAGAGACCTAAATGTAAAACCCAAAACTGTAAAAACGCTAGAAGAAAATCTAGGCAATACCATTCAAGACATAGGCATGGGCAAAGACTTCATGACAAAAACATCAAAAGCAATGGCACAAAAGCAAAAATTGACAAATGGAATCTAATTAATTTATGATGCTTCTGCACAGCAAAAGAAACTATCATTCCATACTGTAAGTTGTCAGTGAACAGACAGCCTACAGTATGGGAGAAAATTTTTGCATTCTACTCATCTGACAAAGGTCTAACATCCAGCATCTATAAGAAACTTAAATAAAGTTACCAGAAAAAAAAAAAACCCATTATAAGAAAATTTACAAGAAAAAAAAAAACAATCCCATTAAAAAGTGGGCAGGCTGCGTGAGGTGGCTTGCCCCTGTAATCCCAGCACTTTGGGAGACCAAGGCAGGCTGATCACCTGAGGTCAGGAGTTCAAGACCAGCTTGGCCAATATGGTGAAACTCCATCTCCACTAAAAATACAAAAAATTAGCCAAGCCTAGTGGCAGGCACCTGTAATCCCAACTAGTTGGGAAGCTGAGGCAGGAGAATTACTTGAATCTGGGAGGTGGAGGTTGCAGTGAGCCGAGATCGCACCATTGTACTCCAGCCTGGGCAACAAGAGTAAAACTCTGCCTCAAAAAAAAAAAAAAAAAAAAAAAAAAAAAAAAAAGAAAAAGAAAAGAAAAAAATCGGGCAAAGAACATGAAAAGACACTTCTCAAAAGAAGATATTTATGTGGCTAACAAACATGAAAAAAAGCTCAACATCACTGATCATTAGAGAAATGCAAATAAAAACCACAATGACATACCATCTCATGCCTGTCAGAATGATGATTATTAATAAGTCAAGAAAAAACAGATGCTGGTGAGACTGTGTAGAAACAGGAATGCTTTTACACTGTTGGTGGAAATGTAACTTAGTTCAACCATTGTGGAAGACAGTGTGGCAGTTCCTCAAAGATCCAGAACGAGAAATAGCATTTGATCCAGTAATCCCATTACTGGGTATATACCCAAAGGAATATAAATTTTTCTATTATAAAGATACATGCACATGTATGTTCATTGCAGTAATATTCACAATATCATACATGAAATCAACCCAAATGCCCATCAATGATAGACTAGATAAAGAAAATGTGGTACATATATTCCCTGGAATACTATGCAGTCACGGAAAGAAATGAAATCATGTTCTTTGCAGGGACATGGATGCAACTGGAAGCCATTATCCTCAGCAAACTAACTCAGGAACAGAAAACCAAACACCTTATGTTCTCACTTATAAGTGGAAGCTGAGCAACTAGAACATGTAGATACAGGGAGGGGAACAACAGCACACACTGAGGCCTCTCAGGGGGTCGAGGAGGGAGAGCATCAGGGTAAATAGCTCAGGTATGCTGGGCTTAATACCTAGGGATGGATTGATAGATACTGCAAACCACCATGGCGCACGTTTACTTATATAACAAACCTGCACATCCTGCACACATCTTCCAGAACTAAAAATAAAATAAAAATAACACACATATTCCTGTGTGTTATCCAAAAACCACTGCCAAGCAATATAGTAATAGTTAAAATATATTGAAATCTAATTACATTCCAGCCAAGGTACTAAGCTTTTTACATCGTTATTTATTCTAACATGCAACTCTTTGAGGTGGATGCTATTAATGTCCTCATGGCATAGATGAGGAAATGGAGGCTTACAACAGTTTATGTACCTTTCCAAAGAATGTGTGAGCTCCAGAAGCCACATTAGAACTCAGGTCTATTTGACTCAATAAATGCAGACTTTGGCCAGATCCTTGTCTCC